CGTTCCATTTCAACGCATTGATTTAACAAAAAGGCATACGCACTTACACAATGCTGCAGATGAAGACGGAGACGATACGAAAGGAGAAAAGTGAAACACGGGAACGCGGCAGCGATGGGCGGCGACGGAGCAGTTGTCGGAGGAGGGAACTGGGAGGGAAGGAGTTGAGCGGTTCAGAAACTAAAAAGAAAAAAAAAAAAAAAAAAAAAAAAAGGACAAAAATGAAAATGAAAATGAATGGAATTAAAGATGTGACAGACAGGCACCTGTATAGAGTAGCGTTGTGGTGGGGGAAGGTAACCGTCACGTGTGCAATATTTGTCCACGTGGCAACCCCTCCTTGGATGTAATTCTTTTTTTTTTTTCCTTAAATTTAATTTTTTAGATTACAAAACAAAACCTCCATTTAAAAATTTAAAAATAATAATTATTTAAAATTTAAAAATAATAATTATTTAAAATTTAAAATAATTTAATAGGTTTTGAATTTTAACGTTATTTACATTTTTTATTTTTTATAGACGTTGCCATAAATTATTTAAAAAAAATAAAGGTATAAAATATATTTACTAATGTTTAGTCATTGCCACGTGTAATATATTTTTAATTATTTAATATTTTTGTTTATCTAGCTGTTGCTTTCCTAGTTGCTACTTCTTTTTGTTTCATCTACAAGGTGGCATTAGATGAGGAGTGGTAGATTTTTTTTTTTATTATTTATTGGGAAAAAAAGAGTGGCAGCTGACTGTTTATTAAATAAAATAAATAATATATTCACAAATATTCAAAGGATTTTCATATGTTTTGTGATTATTATTTATTTATTTATTTAGGTAATTTAGCCCTATAAATGTGATCATACATTGAATTAGATGCCCATTTTTTCGGGAAAAAAAAGTGTTGTCCGACCAAAAAGTTCATTTTTTAATTGTTTTTTCTTCCTATTTAATATTTAGTTTATTTTATTTGTCTTAAATTTGTATGGAAAACTATATGATCAACCACTTTCCACAGATATGAGACGTGTCATTAAAGATATTTGAAAGCTCTCATGGCTTCGCTTTAGGCTTTCTCAAAAGGTCTTATACCAATGTAGAGTGTATTCTTTAATTATAAACCCATTATCATTCCCTAAATTAACCGATGTGGGACACTTTCATCCAAAAGAGAAATCCCCTTTGTTAGATAGATGGGGTTGGGACGGAGATTATATTCCACGTCCACGTCCCCGACTTGTCTCATCTCTGTCCCACATCAAAAAGAATAATCAATAGAACAAAATTCCTCACGAAGAACTCAATCCCTACCAATTTTCGAATCTCCACTCCAATCCCACAAAAATAAATAAAAATTTTCACATGAACAAAATAGGTAGCGGGAATGGAGATGACAAAGAGCTCCCGTCCCCGCCTCACCTCGTAGGTATTTCTAACTATCTAACTTGTTGAAGGAGATCGCATGGAGCTATTGCTCGTGGTAATAGAACGTAACTGAGTAGAGTAGTATAATAACACATCGGATTCCAAGTTAAACATTAAAAAATTTCTGAAACCCATGTTTTCATCGAGCTTTCTCCACCATCTTCCTTCCATTCATTTCGTGGGACCAACTCACGACGATCAGAAAGATTCAAATGCACAAGCCAGGGAACGTAAGCCACACAATAAATACACAGTTTTTAATGAAAACCTAGCCCGTAAACACGCCTCCGTTAAAGAAAACAAATGATTATTATAGAATGAAAATTAGTCATAAACAAGGTCTTAGCTAAGGAATGTACATAGGGACAAGACATTTTAGTGTCTTAATGGAGCTGATGATACTATACATAGGGACAGGCATTTGTGTCTTAATGGACCTGATATCACCGGCAGCCTTAACTCCTACTGCTAAATGGGCCATTGAAAGGACAATACTCAATTGGGTCATTAGGAGTTCATCAAATAATTGGCCCCATTCATTTAACTAATACTTTTCAGTATTTATTTCACTTTATTATTTCTTTAACATCATACAACGTGGCATTCCATCGTCCAACAACCTCAAAATATCCATATATTTTTTAATTTATTTAAAAATTCTATTTTAAATTTTAAAATTATCTAAAAAAAAAACTAAAAAATACCCGTTAATACTTTATTTTAAAAGTGTTTAAAAAATATTTTAAATTTTAAAAAGTTTATAAATTATTAATATTCTTTAGAATGTTCATGAATATTTTTAAATCACAATTGTAAATTTTTTTTAAAGTTTAAAAATATTTTAAAATATTTTTTTGGGAAGATATTAATGAAATTGAAAGTCAAAATAGTTGTTTTTCAAATATTTTTTTTTTAAATTAAATGATATTTTTTAATTGAAAATTTTAGATTTTTTTATTTTTTAAAAATTTAAAAACATTATTAAAACTTTCTAATTAAGATAATTTTATTAATTTATATATATATATATATATATATATATATATATATATTATGAAGAGGTCACTTTCTTTTTTGTACTTGAAGAATAATATGGATTATTTTTTATTTAAAAAAAAAAAGAAACTAGGATTGGAATATAGGAGCTACAGTAAGCTTAGAGTAGGGCTGCGCAAATTATCATCCAACACTATGCTAATTAATGACACGTCACATCCTTCTCAAATTATCACATGCCCTATGCTTATTTTCCCCCAATTTTCCTATTTTTAAACCATTATATTCAAATTATTATGTATTTTCTTTTTATATATATAAAAACGTTCGAAGACGGTTGACAAGAGAAGGGTTTATGTGAACCATTTGGAAAAGTCGAGTCAATCTGGTGTCTTTAGTGTTTGTATTTGAAACTGTAGAGGGTAGGGATGTTCATATAGCTCGAGAATCTAACTAACCCACACCGTAAAAGTTAGGTTGAGTTAGATTCTTTTTTGGTTTGTGTTGGTTCGGAGGTTGACGTTTCTAACTAAACCAACTGACTCGAAAATAGGGTTACAACGTAACTCAACTCTACTTTTAAGATTATTATGATGATTAAGAATATTTGACATTTTGTAGCTGTGTTGTGTGTTGGATGATAGGAGTTCACATCAGGCTAATTTAGGGAATGATCATGGGTTTATAAGTGAGGAATACTAACTCTATTGGTGTGAAGCCTTTTGGGAAGCACAAAGTAAAACCATGAGAGCTTAGGCTCAAAGTGAACAATATCATACCATTGTGGAGAGTCGTGTTCGTCTAACATGGTATGATTTTTTTTGTATTGAAAAAATAGAACAACCCAACCAATTCGACTCGAAAATAGAGAGCTTGGTTGTGAACTCTATTCACGTTAACATTTCCTAAATACTTCCTAAAAAAAACTATTTAAAAATGTTTTTATGAAAAGAAAAAAAAAAAACCCGATGAGCCAAAAGCGGGTACAAAAGGACTAAATTGGACCAACCTATGGTGTACGAGTTATTATGTCAATGACATCGTAAGACAACTAATTAATTAGTATGGAAGAATTGCAGTGCCACAAGAAAACCGAAGAAAGTCAACATATTTCAGCAATTTGTAGTCTGTCGTCCTACCTCTTTTTAATTGTTACCCAAATATTTGTACATTTTCTAAAAAAGAAAGAAGAAAAAACGAGAGGCGACGATGGAGGAAACATGTAACAATTCAAACTTATCACTAGTAGATATTGTCCGTTTTGCCCTGTTAGTACCGCTGTCAGCCTCACCCTTATAAACAATGTTTCGTTCCTCTCTCTAACTAATGTGAGATCTCACAATTTGCCCTCAAGGTCACACCGCTTCGTGTCTTGGTCTGATACCATTTGTAACAGTCAAAACCCACCACTAGCAAATATTGTTTCTTTGGCCTGTTACGTACGGTTTCAAAACGCGTATACTATGGAGAGGTTTCCACACCCTTATAAGGAATGTTTCGTTTCCCTTTCCAATCGACATGGGATCTCACAATACAAATGTCACGCATTTGGTAACATCACGTTTCTTTTTTTTATTTCTCGTTTTTGTTTTTTATTTATTTCTCATCTCCTTTTATTGAACAACATTAAAAAACACTAAAAATAAAAAAAAAAATAAATAAATAAAATAAACTTTATTTTATTTTATCTAAGATATTGAAATTTTTTGTATTTATTTATTCATATTCGGCACAACTTTCATTACTTTATTTAAAAAAATAATAAAAATAATTATGCATGTCATCCATAGATTATTTATTTAAGATTTGAATATAAATTCAAAAAAAAAATTTATTGAGACAGTTCCAAGAAAGAGAATAATATTTAAAACCTAATTCCACCACTAAATTTCAACATGCTCCCTACATTACGTCATCAATCTGCCAAATATGACTTTTTCCTTCAATTATTTTTTATTTTAGCTTCCACCCATTTTCCTTCTTCATGTTCATCCCCTTTCTTTTTTTTTTTTTTTTTTTTAATTATTATTTATTTTTAAATATAATATAAAAAAACTATTGAACTAAAACGTGCAGTTTTTCTCTATGTTAGTTTATATGTTGTCTAATTAATGATTTTTATATTCTAAATTGAAATCATCATACGTGTCGCCTTCTTTTCCCTGAGAATGTATGAACATTCTGGGTAGGTTGCAATAAATCGTTGGTCGAAGGTTTGGACCAATAGTAATTCATCATGTGAGATCTTACATTGGTTGGAGGAGGGAATGGAACATTCCTTATAAGGGTGTGAAAACATTTCTTTAGTACACACGTTTTAAAATCGTGAAGCTAACGATGTTACATAACGGTCTAAAGTGGACAATATCTACTAGTGGTGGGCTTGGACTATTACTAATGATATCAGAGTCGGACATCGGACGGTGTGCCAACGAGGACGCTGGCTCCTAAGGGGATAGATTGTGAGATCTCACATTGGTTGGAGAGGTGAACGAAGAATTTCTTATAAGGGTGTGGAAACCTCCCCCTAGTAAACACGTTTTAAAATTGTGAGACTGAGAACGATATGTAACGGGCCAAAACAGACAATATCTGCTAGCGGTGGACTTGGGCTGTTACAAAAGGTATCAGAGCCGGACACTAGGCAGTGTGCCAATAAGGACGCTGGCCCCTAAGAGGGTAGATTGTGAGATCTCATGTTGGTTGGAGAGGTGAACGAAGAATCTTTATAAGGATGTGGAAACTTATCCCTAGTAGACACATTTTAAAATCGTGAGACTGACAACGATACGTAACGGGCCAAAGCAGGCAGTATCTACTAGCGGTAGACTTGGGCTGTTGCAAAAGATATCAGAGTCAGACACTAGGCAGTGTGCCAGCAATGATGCTGACCCCTAAGGGAATAGACTATGAGATCTCACATTAGTTGGAGAGGTGAACGAAGAATTCCTTACAAGGGTGTGGAAACTTCTCCCAAGTAGACGCGTTTTAAAATCATGAGACTGACAACGATACGTAACGGGCCAAAGCAGACAATATCTGCTAGTGATGGACTTGGGCTGTTACAAAAGGTATCAGAGTCAGACACTAGACGGTGTGCTAGCAAGGACGTTGGCCCCTAAGGGAATAGATTGTGAGATCTCACATTAGTTGGGGAGGTGAACGAAAAATTCCTTACAAGGGTGTGGAAACCTCTCTCTAGTAGACACGTTTTAAAATCGTGAGACTGACAATAATACGTAACGAGCCAAAACGGACAATATCAACTAGTGGTGGACTTGGGCTGTTACAATCACCGTCTTACCTCCTTCCTATTGATGATCAACTCGTTAAAATTACTATTTTTCGGGAGTAAAAATCAAAATTTTCCTCTTTGGGATTCAAAATAAGAACATTTCCCATCAAAATCCAAACATTATAATTGATTACTTTAGTTTGCATTACATTTTGTCTGGTCTCAACTTGTTGAAGGAAGAGAAGAGTTCATTTAATTTGTAGACAAAAGTAAGTGGGGATAAGATTAATCTCCCTTTGTTCTTTGTCAACACAAAAGACCTTCCTTTAATTAACCCTAATTATTAATAATCCTTTGACAAATTCCCCCCTTTTTATATCATTAATCACGCACCTACCTGGAAGGGTCGCCTTTTAAAAATTTAAACTTCATCCTATAAATCAGCCTCGGTTCGATTCTTCCTCCGGACTAAAACAATCCCATTTATGGAGGGCATGAAGAAAAAATGGAGTAAGTATCTGGGTTTGGTCCGGAGCCGATCGGTGACCGGAAAACCCGCCGTTGCGGCGGAGGAGGTAACGAGAAGGAGCAAATCTTTGAACAGTGGCTCGAAATTCAGGACTCCGGTGGCTCCGGATGGTTGCTTTTCGGTGTATGTTGGACCGGAGAGGCGGCGGTTTGTGGTGAAGACGGAATTTGCGAACCATCCGTTGTTTCAGATGCTTCTTGAAGATGCTGAGATGGAATATGGGTATAATAGTCAAGGTCCGATTTGTCTTCCTTGTGAGGTGGGGATGTTTTATGATGTGTTGGCGGAGATGGACGGCGGAGATGGGCTGAGCAAGCGGTGGACGGGCGGGGAAGGTGGTGGTTTGATTGCTTGTAGCCCACTTAGGTTGACCATGTGTGGCAGTAGACAGAGTGGGTATAGGCAGCTGAGTTCGTAGGGGGAGGCTGAGGCTTGAGATTGATACTAAACTCATCAGTTACCGCTGATTTCTTGATACCCATTGTTTGTATTGGTTTGTTTCCATGGCATATAATAGAAAAAAGATAAACTTTTTTAGGTGATTCATACCTATTTTGTTTTTTTGGTATTTGTAATTTACTGGACACTAAATTGAAAGTTATTGTTGCTTGTGACATGTGAGTAAAGGAGATGTACATGAATGAATCTAGACCATATTCAAATGAGGGCGATTTTGAAGATAGGATGATTAAGAACGACTTAAAAGAATTAAAAGTCACTATATATGTCAACAAGGTACACGTTCCTTTTCGGTGGCTCAGTCATAGGAACTCTAGCAATTTTATATTGGGTGATCTTCTGATTTTTCTAAGATGTATGTGAGTGAGGACAAAACATGTTGGAATGACTTGTGTTGGTCGGTGGTGATAGTTTTTATTGTTAGAAGTGAGGAATGAGTAACGTGATCATGTCGTAGGGGAATTTCGGGACCATCTGAATTCTGAATCCTGGGAATATTCTTCACTTTTAGAAGCGAGGAATGAGTAACGTGATCATGTCGTAGGGGAATGTCGAGACCATCCAGATTCTGAATCCTGGGGAGAGTCTTCATTCTTAGAAGCGAGGAATGAGTAACGTGATCATGTCGTAGGGGAATGTCAGGGCCATCCAGATTCCGAATCCTAGGGATAGTCTTCACTCTTAGAAGCAAAAAATGAGTAATGTGATCATGTCGTAGGGGAATGTCGGGGCCATCCGGATTCTGAATCCTAGGGAGAGTCTTCACTCTTAGAAGCGAGAAATGAGTAACGTGATCATGTCGTAGGGGAATGTCAGGGCCATCTAGATTCTGAATCCTGGGGATAGTCTTCACTCTTAGAAGCGAGAAATGAGTAACATGATTATGTCGTAGGGAAACGTTGAGACCATCTAGATTCCGAATCTTGGGGAGAGTCTTCACTATTAAAGTGAAGAATGAGTAACGTGATCATGTCGTAGGAGAATGTCGAGCCCATCTGGATTCTAAATCCTAGAGATAGTCTTCACTCTTAGAAACGATGAATGAGTAACGTGATCATGTCGTAGGGGAATGTCAGGGTCATCCTAATTCCGAATCCTGGGGATAGTCTTCACTCTTAGAAACGATGAATGAGTAACGTGATCATGTCGTAGGGGAATGTCAGGGTCATCCTAATTCTGAATCCTGGGGATAGTCTTCACTCTTAGAAGTGAGGAATGAGTAGCGTGATCATGTCGCAAGGGAATGTCGGGGCCATCCGCATTCTAAATCCTAGAGATAATCTTCACTCTTAGAAGCGAGGAATGAGTAACGTGATGATCATGTCGTAGGGGAATGTCGAGACCATCCAGATTCCGAATACTGGGGAGAGTCTTCACTCTTAGAAGCGATGAATGAGTAACGTGATCATGTCGTAGAGGAATGTCGAGACCATCAGATTCCGAATCCTAAGGATAGTCCTCACTCTTAGAAGTGATGAACGAGTAACGTAATCATGTTGCAGGGAAATGTCGAGACCATCAGGATTCCAAATTCTAGAGATAGTCATTGATTCTATCACAGGGGACGGAGGAAAATGTGAGAGCTATCCAAATTTCAAATTCTCGAGAATAACCGATTAGAATGGCGGTTTCAAAAAATATATATAATAAAAGGAAGAAAATAAAACTATAGATTATAATATATTTGATATTAGTATAGTCTTTCCAAACATAATTATCAGTTTAAATTATTTATTAAAAAAAAATTGATCACGAGTTAGAATAAACTAATATAGAGGAAATTATCCGAACAATATTTATATATTTATTTATTTATTTTTAAATGGTTATCGATCATTAAATTTTTGTTCTTCTAGAAAAAAAAATTATATTTAAAAACAACTTTCAAAATATTCTTGATATATTTTAATATTAGTATACTATATATTATATCCATAATGTATTTTTTAACCTATGCTATTCAATAATATCTTATGGATAATACATGGTAGCGTGACATAAAAATTAATGTAGTTATTACCTTTCTAGCTCATGCCTAACATTAGTAATATTAATTATCATATCATGTCTATATGCTAATGATTAAAATGAAAATGTTGCGTGGAAGTGTTGGGTTGTGGGGTGCAATTGACAATTTTAAAGCTATCATTCTATAATCTATCTTGTCCTATTCTGCTGACAATACGAGCAAATTAATGAACACGATAGCATCTAATTGTCCTACTGCCACAAATCGTCGATATATGTTCTCACATTGGCCTGGTTACTAAGCCTTTTTTGGCTCATACTCGGTCTAACCCTGATGTAGATCTATGTTGAATATATTGAGGTTCCTAATGTTTTATGCAAAAAGTCAAGGTCGAGTAGTCGAGAATCCTAATGCTCCATTTTTTTTTCTGACTTGTTCCCACTTTCTTCTAGTCGTGAGAATGCGTTTTAAAACCTTGAGGGGAAGCACGTAAGGAAAACTCCAAATAGAACAATATATGGTAGCGGTGGGCTTGGGTCATTACAAATGGTATCAGAGTCAGACACTAGGCGGTGTGTCAGTGAGGACGCTGGACCCGAAGGGGGTCGATTGTGAAATCTGACCTTGGTTAGAGAGTGGAACGAAACATTCCTTACAAGAGTGTGGAAACCTCTCTCTAACAGACGCGTTTTAAAACCTTAAAGGAAAGATTGGAAGGGAAAGTCATGTAAGGGTGTGGAAACTTCTCTCTAACAGACGCATTTTAAAACTTTGAGGGGAAGCTCGGAAGGAAAAGTCAAAAGAGAACAATATTTGCTAGCGATGGATTTAGACTATTACAAGTCACCTCCTCCTTATTTGGAGGAGGGAGAGTCCGAGGGGACCGTCCACAGGGGACTTAAGAACAAAAGTTCAAAGTTTTCAAAATTTTCATTCGAGTGATATCGTCTATGCATCATTCAAAGGGGGGGGGGGGTGATTCGTAAGACGAATTCAAATCATCGAATAGAAAATCATATGTTGAAAACTAGGTCACGGGCTCGCAACCGACCAACATCCATTGGTTGAGGTCAACCCTACAATATTTACTACGCTTGAATCAAATCATGCTCTTAGCCATATAAAGGAGGACAAAATCAACAAGCTCTTTGACCAAGACGGAGAGGTCAAGACCAACCAAAGGTTAACCCTACTAAAGAACTCGAGTCCATCCCGCTCGCATCGAGCACAAGTGGATGAATGATATCAAAACTAAACTAGAAGTGAACAAAACGATCATATTATTAGTTTCCTAGGGACTAATACAACCCTATCTGCCTTGACATATGAAGACATGATAGAACTCGAGCCATTTAGAGCCACAATTCCTGGGACCGAACAGATTCAGGATAAAACCATGTCTTCAACCCAGTGAGCTCCAACAGCCTCTTCCCAAAACTGTCGGTCGGGGAAGAACCCGTCATACCAATCAAGTAATTAACCCACTCCACCAACTCCGGCCACAACGTCTTATAATAAAACGCCATCCTCATCCACCGTGGCTCGGTCGCGTACCGGTCTCCTCTACATGCACTCCTCACAATCCCGTTCACCGCGCTGTCGATCGGCATAATCGGCATTGCACTCACCATAGCCTAACAAGTACCAACCCACGTTGTTAAAACATAATTCCCCAACAAAAAATTCTTCTCTTTTTTCGCCGTTAAAACTTACATCTCTGAGCTCTTGATCGAGATACAACCCACCGTCTTTCGACATGAACTTTCCTTGCGTCATCTCCGATTCAATGAGCCCTGGCGTCACGATGGTGATTCCGATATCTCTTCCGACTTCTACTCGTAGCGTCTCGTAGAAGCTTATCACTGCAGCTTTGCTTGCCTTCAATAACATTGAAATGAATTCTTTATATGTTTTTATTTATATTATTAACGTAAAATGTTGTTGTGAATCTTACGCTGTAGAAGCTCAGCCTTGGCACCGGCAGCCATGCGGCGGAGGAAGAGATTCCGATGATCTTTCCTCTGCTTTGCTTGAGGTGGGGAATTGCAAAGTAAGTACAATAAACCATGCCCCAGAAGTTTACGTCCTGCATCAAATTTCAAGTAATATTGTTGAACCTCGCCACAATCTTGGAGAATGATTGGAAATTTTAAGGTTATTACTTACCATTATCGGGGCAGCATTGTCGTGGTTGTTGTATTCTTCGAAGAGGTTGATGCTCGAGACGCCCGCATTGTTTACCAGATGATCCACTGTAGAAGTATATGCACGAGAGTTTATACCCAAAGTGAATACTATTATATTATTTAAGAAGTGATATCAGAGTCTATGTCACGTCGTTCCTTGTCACTATCAAGTTATATGAAAATCATGCTGTTAAGCTAGCCATGTCGATAGAATTTTGAGGTCGAACAAAAGGGTTTTTAGCTTTGAAAATTCGTATTACAGTTCGATTGAACTACCAATATATTAAGAGAGAAGACTCTCTATCCCGTAATAGATGGATAGATGACTCTTTAAGCATTTTCATGAGCATAAGCTCAAAGTAGACCTGAGATCTTCGAGAGAGGAATGAAACATTCCTTATAACAGTGTGGAAACCTCTCCCTAACAGACGTGTTTTAAAACTATTAGGCTGACGACGATACGTAACGGGCCAAAGTGGACAATATCTATTAGCGGTGTGCTTAAGCTGTTACAAATGTTATCAGAGACGAGACACCGAGCGGTATGCCAGTAAGGACGTTGGCCCCCAAGAGGGTGGATTATGGGATCCCACATCGATTAGAGAGATGAACAAAACATTTCTTATAAGAGTGTGGAAACCTCTCTCTAACAGACGCATTTCAAAATCGTGAGGCTGATAGCAATATGTAACAAACCAAAGTGGACAACATCTGCTAGCGGTGGGCTTGAACGGATACAAATGGTATCAGAGTCGGACACCGAACGGTATGTCAGCGAGAACGCTAGACCCCAACAGAGTGGATTGATCATCGGGTAAAGAGGGAAACAAAACATTCCTTATAATGGGTGAAAACTTCTCCCTAACAGACCAGACACGTTTTAAAACTGTGAAGTTGACGACGATACGTAACCGGCCAAAACAGACCGTATCTGCTAGATGTGGGTTTGGGTTGTTATAAATGATACAAGAGCTAGACATCTATCACCGTGCGAGCAAGGATGTTGGCCCTCGAGGGAGTGGAAATGAAACATTTGTTATAAGCGTGTGAAAACCTATCCCTAACAGACGCGTTTAAACAATGACTTACATCGTCCGAAGACGGCAACCGTGGTTTGAATACATCGTTTACAATCCTCAATCCTTGAAATATCAGCCGGAATTACAAGAGCGAAGGGTGAGCCAAAGAACCTCGCCACGCCGGCGACTTCACGGAGGCGGTTCTCTCTTCTAGCAACCAACACCAAATAAGCACCTCTTTTAGCATACTCATACGCCATATGCTTCAAAAATCAAAACCCCACAACCAAAATCAACAAAAACAAATGGATTAAATCAATTCAAAACGTTCATTTAATTGTTTGTTAACCTTGCCAATTCCCGACGATGCTCCGGTGATTAGAACAACTTTTCCGGCAACATCTTCGCTGAAAATTGATCGGAATACAAACGAGAGAAACTTGAAGAACAGGTAGGTTGGGAGGAAGAAGATGAAGGCTATTAGAGATGTAATGGGAAGAACAAAATTTAGGACATTGTTGAGGAAATCCATGGGGTTTTGTGGGGAGTGGCAAAGAGGTGAGGTTTAAATCAAATGGAGACCAAACAATGTGATATCACGTAGCACAATTGCATGCAAAATAATCAACACGTATGCTATGATTTAAACCCATGTAACACTCAAACCCAAGCTAACAGATATTTTCCGTTTTAGCCCGTTACGTATCGTCATCGCTCGTCTCATAGGTATACAGTCCACTCCTTTAGGGAACCTAACGTCCTCGTTGGTATACAGTCTGATGTCTGACTTTGATATCATTTGTAACAGTCCAAGCCCACCACTAACAAATGTTGTCCACTTTGGACCATTACGTATCGCTATCAACCTCACGGATTTAAAGCGTGTCTCCTGGAGATAGGTTTCTATACTTTATAAGGAATGTTTCATTCCCCTCTATCCCACATTTACCGTAAACTTAAATTGATATATTTAAACCTAATATCTATTTCTTTTGATTAATAAAAAATTTATTATGTTACGAGTTGAGCAAGTCGGATTGATAATAAAAGAACGATCATTTATAAGTCATAGAGCAGCTATTATAAATTGGAATATGGATTAGATTAATAGCCTCGAGTTCGGCGGAGTGATCAGTAAAATCAAGGCCCGGGATGAAGGTTTCACATTTAGAAGCTCTAGTGGCCAATATAGTCAATATCCAAAACAACCACCCTCGACAAAAAATTGGATCGTCTTTAGCTAAATTTTTCAAAACAAGTAGGTAATGTGAGCATGTCACAGTGGATTGTCTGAGGATGCCATTGCTAGAGTACAGGAGAATTCAGAGTAGTGATTTCTAGCCAAATGAGGGAAGATCTTCACGTTCGATTCAAAGAGCGGAGATATCCTGATTTGAATATTGGTGTAACGGCCTAGACCCACAGCTAGCAGATTTTGTCTTCTTTAGGCTTTCCCTTTCGGACATCCTCTCAAGGTTTTAAAACATGTCCGTTAGGCGAAAGGTCTTCACACACTTGTAAAGGGTATTTCGTTCTCCTCCCCGAACCATTGTGGGATTGTGGGATCTCACAATTGGACTCGAAGCCTTATATTACACCCACAACCGTTCGTCGCATACCTATGTTCTCGACATTCTCCCACACCACCGCCTTACACCTCCGTCATCTCCATTGGTACCGACCTAATATGATTGATTCATATTTACAAATACAGTAACAATTATCCCTCTGTTCTTCAATTTGTCCTAAACTTGGCAAGACGACGAGCATACCCTTATCGTCTCTGTTTTCAGAACTTCTCTTCCACGGCCCAATATCGCCATTGACACGATTCATCTATGATCGTTACATGCGTGTCTCCATTCCATAGCTATCCCACAGCTGGTTATACAGAAAGCGAGCGTTCGATTTGTCGTTTTACAGAAACGGCGAAGTTTTCCGGCGAGGAAGAACACCAATCGGCGGTCACCGGAAGGTGTGAAAAAAACAGAGCACGCTTCAAACGCTTCCAACTTAAGCTCATTAAACAAAATTAAAGCTTTAATTACGTTGATTACAAAGATTTAAAAGCTTTTAAGCAGAAAAACAGAGGATAATTACAGAGGTTTAACGGCCGGAGATTTTAGATCAGTCGTCGTTGATCTCGACGGAGTGAATGGAAGGAGGATACATGGCCGTCTTGGCTCCGGTGAGATCCAGAATCTGTTTATTGAGCGCCTCCGCGGCGGAGGTTCCCGGCGTTGTATACACCAATATACGGTAGCACCACTCCACCACCTCCGGGCATAACGCCTTTAAGTAATACACAGCGTTGTACCACGACGGCTCCGTCAAGTACCGATCACCCCGGCAGGCGCTCCTCACGATTGCCTTAGCGCAGGCCGCCGCCGTCTCTACCGGAATCGCCCCCACCAGAACCTGCCACCATCAATGGTCATAATTATCGGAGTTAAAATCCAAGCAAAAAAAACAGAGGAATTCTTTACATCTCTAACGTCCTGATGAACTTCCATTCTCCCGTGAGAATACAACGCCTTCCCTTTAGTTATCTCCGACTCGACAAAGCCCGGCGTCACGACGGTGATCCCAATCTCCGGCGACATTTCCACTCTCAACGTCTCAAAAAAGCTCCTCAGCGCCGCCTTGCTCGCCTGAAAAAAAAACCAAATCAAATAACGAAAACCCATAATCCCACATGGGTTTTAAGTAAAAACTCAATCTTGCATTGTAAATGCTCATTCTGGGTGACGGCAACCACGCCGCCGCCGATGAAACCACTATGATCTTCCCTCCCCTGTTCTTCAAATAAGGAATTGATAGCCAAGTCATATAAACAGACCCCCAATAGTTCGTTTCCTGCAAAATGCAAGGCCAAATTCAGCTCAAATTCATGGTGTTCTTACCAAATTTAAGCCATTTTTACCATAATTTGCTTGAAGGAAGTGATATCAATGATTTCTTCAAACAGAGTCATGTTGGCAATGCCGGCATTGTTAACCAAATGATCCACTGCATCCATTACAGAATTCATCATAAACAATCCAATCCAACCCATTTGAATTTCTTCATCTGATTCAAACCTACATCTTCCGAAATGATTCATCGTGTCATCAATGATTCGCCGACAGTCCGACAGATCGGAGACATCCCCTGCAATGGTGATAACCTCAGGGGAGCCATAGTAGCGAGCTGCTTCAGCAGCTTCCTCAAGTGAACTCTCTCGTCTAGCTACAAGCGCTAATTGAGCTCCTCTCTTGGCATACTCATATGCCAAATTCTGCCATTTAAACACCAAATCAGAAACCATTAATATCCAAACCTGTTAGATTCTTCTCTGTTACCTACCTCGCCGATGCCCGAGGAAGCTCCGGTGATCAGAACGACTTTCCCGGCGACATCTTCGCTAAACAAACCTCTAACCAAAGAGAAAAAGTACTTGAAAATGACGTAATGCGGTAGTAATAGGCCGAGAGAGACGACTGTGAACGGCGGAGCTACTAAATTCAAGAAGCTCTGAATCAGCTCCATTGGAAAGGATTAGAAACAGAGATAACAATCAGAAGAAAAACAAAACAAGATCATTCATTTCAATCATTTTATAATTGGGATTTTTGTTTTTTACAACAAAAACAGAACATCGTGGCATTTTCCAAACATCATGAGCTACACACGTTCTGTTCATATTCAAATTCCCCTGTTTCTGTAACATTTTCAGCCATTGACACGATTCGTCAAACATTTCAAAGCTTTCTTTCTATATTTGTTCTTCGTCGTCTTCAATTCACAACAAAAACAGAGTATCGAAGCTTCAATTTCTCTCTGCATATTCACTCTAGCAATGAAATCATCGGCTCTTTTACTCAAATCCTCACAATTCTCCAAACCCATCTCCCATTCATCATCATCATGACAAATCTTCAAACCCCTGTTTTCATCTCCTCCGACAATCAAAGTTCCATCATAAAAACAGAGATTATCAGCAAAACAATCCGAACTTTTTGAAGCAAAAACTTTGGATTCTCCGATGAGAACGACAACGATCAGATTGCCGATGATGAAAACGGAAATGGGTGTTGGGAAATTTATTGAGTAATTGGATAATGGAAGGATCCATAAGAGGATGAAAAACAGAGCAACAAGAAAACAGAGGATGTTTGAAATCATTGAAGATCTTGTTTTGACGTTTGTAAGAGCCATTGTTAATGGGATTTTGGAGCTTAAAGCTTCCATATCATGGAGAAAATTTTGGAGATACCATCAAATTTATAAAAGAATTTGAGCAAAGTGATTAGTGATTATCTCTAAGTATGATTACTTAAATAAATCACAAGCATGCGTCCCACTTTACCTAAGTTTTTTAAAAAAGATATTTGAAAGTAACTTTTTTCCTTCCCTAAACTATAAGTAATGGAAATTGGAGGTAGTTATTAAAGTAATGGCGTGACGGAAATGATCTGACTTTTTGTATTGGTTGAACTCGTTACTTAAATACGATGGTTTTGTCGTTTAAAAAAGGAATGAAGGAATGATAAATGATATGTTCGAGGTATCCTTCGAACCTCTAGTTTGGTGTCTTGGTTGTTGTACTTAAGTGAATGGGTGCTCGAGGAGCTGAACAGTGTTCCTTGCCATGAGTTTGGTCGATAGTTAGTGGAGTGGTAAAGGCGGTGCAACGTCGAGGCATGAGGAGTGATGTTGGCTGAGGCTCTAAGTTGTTGGTGTGTCGTATGAGAATGTTTCGTGCAAGGGGCTCACGATGACTTGGAGAAAAAGGAAGGAAGAAGAAGAGAGACCAAGCGCGATGGCGACCATGGTAGTGTTTCCTCCTAGTGTTGCGTGTTGAAGTTTGAGGGAGATGCAGGTAGGGCTCGACTATAGTCAAATAGTCGGGCCCCTTAAATTTTTTTAAGAACTAAACATTACAGTGCACGTGAGTTGAGTAAACGAGGGATATATAAATAAACAAAAACTGCATCCAAACGAGATTGATCCTAAGATTAGGATGATTAAGAAAGACTTAAAATAACTGAAAGTTGCTACCTAGATCAACAAGGTTTACTTTCATTTTTGGTGGCTCAGGTTCACTATCTCGACTGACCTCATTAATTTGTTTTTTTCCTAAGATACATGCGGGTGAGAACAAAACATGCTAAAATGGCTCGTGTTAGTTTGTAGGGATATTATTCACGCTTAAAAGCACTTCATGACAAGTAGGAAACGTAACTATGTTGTAGGGGAGGTACGGGAATACTAGAGCCATTAAGTGTCGATTATGAATTCCAAATCTTAATTCGAATCACTGGAACGAGTCATTACGATGAAATGACAAAAACCCATTTATCAGAACGCCTTAAAATATTAAAAGCATGCGTAGCTGCGTAAGTTATACGTAAAAATAAAATAAAAAAGAAAGTGACCCATATGGCTTACTACTCTTTTCATCTTTCCACCATTTGATTACTAGGGTTTCCATCCAAGTTGGAGGTAAAGCTTTACATATCAAATTCAACTTTATAAATGGAATGTTCATATGCATATTTAAGTGATCCACCAATTAACAAAGCGACAAGATATAAAGTTATGTTTTTTCCTTTCCGAAAAACATATGTTTCAAAGAAGGGATCTTTATTATGCTCGAGATGCAAAGATTGTCCCACGAACCAAAATATTGGGCGTTATCAGCCTATGAGAGTCGGTTTTCGTAGCAATAGTAGGGGTGATTATTGGCCCGTGAGAGTTAGTTTGCAAATCGAGACTGACGCTGACCTCCAATGAATTGGGTTTTCTTCGGTTTGAGAATGGGTGTTTACACCGACCTCTTGAAAAGGCCATTAGAAACAAGTTGTAATTGTAAACATGTGTGGATTTACGCTAGTAGGTTTTCCTTAACACGAACCACTAAACTTATCATTTAACCTAAATAAAACGATTGTGGTTGAATCGCCTAATGTCTTGGTTAATAGTATATCTTTTAACTAATTGAGTTAGTTGACTAAACATGAAGATCTATGTCTGATGTCAAGGTCATACTTGTCCAAGATGTGTTATCTGTATCCGCATGTCTGATGTCCCAGGCATACTTGTCTAAGACGTATTGTTCAAACCGAACGAACAGAGATAGAATCAGACCGATTGACTTATCCATGTCATGTCAATATGTCAAACCAGACCTAAACAAATCATAATTAATCATTTTTCGATACAAAATAAAAAATCAATCAATTTTACTCAATTTTAAATTATTGATTCATTTTTAAAAAGAAAAAAAAAATGAAGAAACAAAGATATTTAAAAAGCTTCTCTTTTTAAAACACAAAAATTCAAAATTTGCTTTTAGTAAAGCTATGATTTCCACGTTCCCACAAACAAATATATATATATATATATATATATATATATATATTATTAAATAAACCGCACTAACTAAACAATATTTTTTAATTTCATTTAATGATTTAAGCTTTTTATTATTATTTAATTATTCAGATTATAAATTAAAATAAAAAGGATAAGATTTTAAAAAATAAAATAATAATTATCTTAAATTTCACCCATTAATCCAATTTTCAATTTGGAGTAAAAAATCACAAGTTTAAAAAAATATATATTATTTAATTTAATAAGTTAGTATAGTTTCATTTATTTTAAAATAATCATGATAATATTATTTACTTTATTTTTAAAAATTGATATTTTCGTAAAACCTCATTGGTTCTTATTTAGTGGACTTTTCTTCTTAGTTTGGGCCTCAACCCGACATGAAATATTGGGCTGGGCTTGGCCCAACACTCAACAACTTTGCAATATCATTGCGGCCCAATCAGCAATGCCCTGTGCTAGAATTTTATTTCTTTATTTATTATTATATTGGAAATATTCAAATCTTTGTTAATTTTAAAATAAATTATTTATACGTATAATAACATTTTATTTTATTAAAACGAAAAAATAAATAAATGACTTGAATAACTCAAACTAATCCAACTCATAAAAGATTATGGTCGGTTTGAGTTCAGTCGAGTTTATTATTTAATAATGGTTGTTTGGATTGAAAATTTTACAATCTAAGCAATTGGGTTAGCTCGAAAAAATGCAGCAACCGGACCCAACCTAACCTGCGAACACTCGTATCTCGATTAGACAAAACTCTAACGCTTAACTGACTAAACTTATAATTTAACGTGAAACTCACGAATTTGGAGCATCCCTAGCACTCCACCAAACACACTAGGGTTGGTCAAAAGTGGATTAATGAAAGGAATTGAAAATTAAGTTAATGTGTTAATTAAGGTATAATTAATTCTTGGGTTTAAAGGCAATGCCCTTCTGTCATTCTTGTTCAAAACCTTACCTTAAAGAACACAATGGTCCATCAATCATTGACTACTCACCTTTTATTATTATTATTATTATTCTCATGCATGTTATGTTATATAATCAATGCTAAAGTTCTTCAATTCTTTATTTGAACACAAACACAAGTCCCTTAATGCCCTTTTAGAAGGCGTTTTGGCCCGTTACGTGTCGCCGTCACCCTCACTATTTTAAAACGTGTCTATTACAGAGTGGTTTCCACACCCTTACAATAAATGTTTGTTCCTCTCTCTCCAACCGATATGGGATCTCACAATCCACTCTTTGGTGGTCCAGTGTTCTCGTTGTCACACTGCCCTGTGTCCATCGGTTGGAGAGAAGAACAAAACATTTCTTATAAGGGTGTGGA